CTATAGTTCGTTAATGCTCAACCAATATTACACCTGGCTCCACTTAGTCTTTTTAGACGCAGTTTCTTCCCCTTCTTTTGCTTCAACTTCAAATAAGAAAAAAATCATGTTAATTACCTAATGACTTTTGAATAACAAATCGAAAAAATTTAATAAAAAAACATATAGAATCACAATGTTTACTTACCACAATCGGTGGAACTGGACCAACCATTTCCCTTTGAAGTCCTACCGCTTGAACCTCTCCCTGAACTGCCTCTTGAACCTCTCCCTGAACTGCCTCTTGAACCCCTACTTGAACCACTGCCTCTAGGCCTACCAACCAGATTTTTTTTGCATAGAAGGTGCATCTTTTTTATGGTTTTTACAACCTCTTGAATTATGTCCAACCCCCCAACAATTTTTGCAAGTCATCTACCTTCCTGTTCTTTCTGCCTCATCATGTTTAAAATTGTTGGTCCTACTTTTACTACCACCTTCACATGCATCCTTCCGTCTAGATATTGAAGGTCTACCAGGCATTCTTCTAAATTGGTTTGAATGGTTTGTACTAATGGTTGGGTTTGTAAATGAAAAGATCTCTATACATGGAATTTGAAACCTACATCATCACCATTTAAAATGTTTATATTTATTTGCTTAAGCCTTGATGTCGTTGGTACTCAAATGCAATAATGATCTTTTTTTGAAGTATATAATATTTGCATACGGTAAATACTCGAGTACGAACCTTTGGTGAGGTTAATTTGAACCCTTGACCTCCTCGGAGGCTGGTTGTACAGTAACCTGGATACCGATGGCCATTGATCCTTTGGTGCAGTAGAAAGTATTTATAACACTAATTGGCTAAATATATCTTCTTTTCTATCTTTAACTTATGATCTGAATTTTTCTACTGGTGTGTAGTTCCAAAGCACAAGTTTTCCAAATCTAAACAGGGAAAGTTTGTTTGCAGGACGCAGCCATGTGATGAACACAAAGCGAACTATTCTTTCGCCTTTTACTAAAGTTTGTTTGCAGGTGGAGAAAATGAAGGAAATTGCAAAGCAAAAGGCTAAAGAGGAGCGAAGGAGATTAGAATCGAAGGTAATAATCTTGGATCTTATGTCAATAATTTATCTTTAGTTTTTATGAGCTTGCTAACTATTGATGTTTCTTTATTAAGATGGGAAAGAAACTGGACTTGAATGGCTTAATAACTTTGTATATTATCTGTTTCAACCATGGATAACCTCATGTTCTCAAGAATGTGAAGTTTACATATTATTAGAGAGTGTATGAGAGATGCAGGGAGGATTAGTTCATTGGTCGTTATAATCCTATGGACGGAACTTAGATGTTCATTTTGCCTTATTTCAACTTGAGCTGGTGTTGATTATGGGTCGTTTACTAAACACTTACAAGGGTAAGCTTACCAAGTCACATTACCTCATCGAATGAATATGGTAAGGACTAAGAATCTTACCTGGTAAGAGCGAGACAAAGATCATGAGTCTTACCCTAAACCCATTTGAATATGTTATATCACATTTCCATATGGCATCTAAAGTGGAATGTCATTTGTCATGTGATTGCAAACCACTAGTTAGGTAAACATTAAATTCATTGCATCAATAACTAAGAAAACCCATGAAACAAACCTCCACCTTGTGCCTGCACTAGAATTATCATCGTGCATAACACCACCACCACTGACTTATCTAGAGTTWTGGATTGCGATGGATGCCAGATAGCTATTCCAACTACTTCGTAATTATAAGCATACATTTATGGCCATATGAGGCCTTATTAAAAGACATATTCTCATAATATAATAGGCAATATAAGTAGATTTTAGAACGTCATAGGAAAACTTCGTACTCTAAAGAAGATTGAACATACAGATTGAACAATGCAGATTGAACATACAAATTGATTTTAGAACTAACCTGATACTCATTGCAATGTGATATAACAGATTCAAACCCTAAAAACACAAAAGGGGACATTTTAGAAAAGCTCTAAAACCACAAAAAATCGAGTTGATGAAGAAGAAATACAACAATTTTACATACCCAAGACCAGACAACATCGATGTAGGAGATTGGTGACGACGAGTGACGGAAGATTTGCAAGAAGAATTCGTCGATTGAGGAAGCCGATCGTTGAATCGAAGGAGTCGGTTGCTGGCGTCGATTGAAATTGCTGGGGAAATTGAGTTTTAAAAGATAAGGGGTTTAATATTTTCCATGTCATTTGATTACATGTTAATTTTTATTCCACTTCATTTCTTTAAAATACATGTCATTCTTAGTTTACCGGTTACCTGAAGTAGTACAGGTAACCCAGGTGCTTGAAAGTTTGAGATTTTATATCTCAAGTATCAAAATGAAGGTTTTGAAAGTATATTACCCAAAATAGGAATAAAACTAAAGTACGTTACATTTTTATGCAATTTGCCCTTTAAATAAAGGACATTGTGGGTATAGACTTTGTAAATCTCCCTCTCCTATCTATTATCTTGCCATATCACATTCAGTTAAAGTTTAATATGCAGTACAGTACAGACGTTTTAAATAAAACTTGAAATACAGTTTGATCAAAAATAATGTTGAACCTAAAGGGCCGTTTACCTAAACACTTACCCGATAAGCACTTACCGATAAAATTCAACACTATCGCTTACTTACCGATTAAGATTTTATTCACTAAAATGCATCGTATACAACAATTTATCCTGGTAAGCGCTAACCATAGTAAGAGTCATCATCCTTACTTATCGGGTAAGACTCTCGATTCTTGTCTTCGTTCTTACCGGGTAAGATTATTAGCCCTTGTCATATTCATCCGATAAGTAAAATAACTTGGTAATCACTTACCCGGATAAACGTTTGATAAAGAGCACCTAAACCTAACCTTATTTTATGGTCAATTGATCTCTATAAATTAAGAAAACAAAAGGATTTGGTATCTATGTTGATTCTATAACCATTAATAATAATGGTTATTAATGAGTTGGTGGATTCTAAATTTGGGCACATGGGAAACTTAGGTACAAATTTTGAAGTCAAACTTAAAAGAAGGGTCATTATTTTTTTAATAATAATTTATATTTTTTATATAAATAATATTTTGTGTATATATATAAAAAGTTACAAACATAAAATGTAATATTCCGCCTTGGAATAACTGTTGCCTTATGCAGGACTTGATATCTCTATTATCAGACGTGTTTTAGAATCGTGAGTGTAGGTATGTGGACAAAACGGATAATATCTGGTATTGATAGCCAAGGATGTTATAAATGGTATTAAAGCTGGGAACCGAACTGGTAGGACGCTGGGCTCCCAAGGGGGATGGATTGTAAATTTGTAATATCCCTCATTGGTTGGGAAGGGGAACAGATGTTGACTTATAAGGGACTTGATACCTCTTTTGTCAGACGCGTTTTAAAACGATGAGTCCAGGTGTGTAAACAAATCGGACAATATCTTGTGCGGTTGGCATAGGCGGACCTGGTGTGGTGGCATGGGTGGCACGTGCCACCGTATTATTTCGCGGCCGAAGGGTAAAAGATTTAGGTTTGTTAACGGTGTTACCGTATCGTTTTAGAAGGTGCTATTGTATTTCCCTGAAATCCAAATAGTGCAACTAAAACCCAAACAAAACAAAGCCTAAATAACCAAAACCATACTTTTTGTAATTATTTTTGGGTATATATTGACCGTTTTCAAAAGTTGAAGACGCGTCAGGTACAAGTTTAGGAGTTGTTTATCGGTAGTATAAAAACCACATTTTTTGTAATTATTTTTAGATGTATATTATACTATATTAATTATATGGTGCCACCGTTTGAAAAAATTTATGGGTCCGTCCCTGACGGTTGGTCTGGGATGTTACATACAAGTAGAAGCGGTTCAACCAGTTCGAGATATTTTTTGTAGCAAGTGAAGATTACTCTAAAGCATATAGCACTAAGATTAGAGGATGTGTTCGGTACATGAGATCACACATATGACAGTATAAAGAATTTGGTGTCCTGCGTTTGACACGACATATTAAATTATAATATAACAGAACTGAGTGGAACAAAAATGGATTTTTTTTTCAACCACAACGGTTGTAGCGTAGTGGTTGAGGCCCAAGACGATGTGGTGGAATATCTCATCTGTCATGGATTCAATTCTAGGCGGCCAAAACAATTGTGCCACTGAGTTTATCAGTGTTAATGTCTTACAGTCACAATTTGTCGGCATTAGTCTGGACGTAGCGTGGAACACCCTTAAAAAATGCATTTTTCCTACCAAAGCAGTTGGAACTAAAATCAAGGAGAACAATGTGATAAAATTTGATAAATTACTAAATTATCACTATAACAAAATTGGGTTTATAGGACACCCCAAATCTCTAAGCATCCCAATAGCCGCTTTATTAGACTTAATTTATAGGACCAAAATATAAAGTGTCATATCTAAAGGTGTTGTAATAAATTTATATGACGCTTTTGGACATCTTAACAAGTTTTTTAGGATATTTTTAATACAAATTGTCGCATTAGCAACTTTATAGGATACTTTTGAGAAAATGTCCTATAAACTCAATTTTTTATAGATTATTTGTTTTTATATGACAGTTTTTCAAATAGTGTCATATAAAGTTGCTAATGAGACGTTTTATATTAAAAATGTCCTAAAAACTTATTACGACATCAAAAACCGTCATAGAAACTTATTACAACGCCTTTAGATATGACGATTTATTATTTTGGCCCTATAAACCAAGTCTTATAAAGAGGTCTATTAGGACGCTTAGAAATTGAGAATGTCCTATAAACCTGGTTTTGTTGCGGTGTATCCATTACATCGATATTTTTATCCAATTCCTTTTTTTTCCCAACAATGGCCACGTGTCAAGTGAATCTGCCAAATAAGCATCCACCACGTGTAAACTCAATCCTCGAACTATATTGTTGGCGGACTTGTCAACTTTCTAGACCTTCGATCACTTACGTTTCATTCTTTGAATATTATTATTCCACATCTTGGATTATTAAACCCCCCAAAAATCAAACCTTTGAAGATCAAATCGATGAAACCTATACACACACTGAAAACACGCTAAAACACACACACACACACACACTCTTACACAAAAAGATCGATGATGAGGGTTTTCTTGATATTTGGATGGTTTTTATGTTTCTTGGTGAATAAAGGAGAGGGTATGATTTCCAAGAGTTTATTGAAAGAGATCGATAGCGTAAACGAGGGTGGTCCGTATATTGGCATTGTCGTGCCCAATGCCTTCGAAATGAATCCGCTCTTGCAATCATCGAGCTTCGTGGCAAATCAAAAACGTCCATATCTTGATGTTTCAGGTAAACGATTACGCTTTGGATAGATAGATATTTATAAGATTACTCGTATATTCACACACACATAGACTTGAATTATGTGAACCCACACCATTAATTGTCGTTGGATGACCAACCGTCGTCACAAGAAAAACACTATGAATGTTGTGAAGGTACGGTGTTCTTTTTCCTGCGAAGGTTCAGTGTATTGTTGTAAAAGTTCGGTCATCCAACGGCTACAAGCTGATTTCATCATGAGTCATACGAAAAAATGATTACAAGGTTGACCGCTAAAAACCCGAACCTTTCTTTTTCCGACCATGAGCCACCTGGTCCTTACCTCGACCAAAGAAGGTCTCGCTTGTTAAAAACGAATGAAAAACCCTATTTTCATGACGTGATTTTATATTGTACCACTTAATCACCATGATTAACCTTGTGCGATTAGTTCAATGGCAATAAGGCTAAGATCTTTAGGGATTCTACTCAAAATTCATCAGTTTGATCTGCAAGACCACTGAGGATTTTTACGGTTGTTCTCCACAACCTGGAATTAGTCGAGGTGCATGCAAGCTGGACCGGATTTAGGGTGTTTGGGATGTGTGGTTAAAAAGTGATTATTGTGATATAAGAATTAAAAATTAGAACTATATATCACATAATCATTTATTAAAGTTAGGATTAGTTATCTAGACGCGGGTTAGATTACAAACCGTCTGATTCGTGGAAACTATGCAAACCACTCTCGATAAATAGGAAATTTTCGTTTTTTATTCTTTAATTTTAATAAGTAAGGGTATAATTGTCATTTTATTGTATAATGATTAATATTGGAAATGATTTAATTATTTTTAAATATGGAAACGTAAATATAGAAACCGTTTATATAGAAGGTGAAAATCAATTGTTTTAAATATAATATTGGAAATGATTTAATTATTTTTAAATATGGAAACGTAAATATAGAAACCGTTTATATGGAAGGTGTAAATCAATTGTTTTCAAATATAAAACGGTGAAACAGTGAAATAGTTGCATACAATGAAGATGACAGATTAATACAGTTTCATTATGTGAAACAGATTCATACAGTGAACCAGATTCACACATGTGAATAAATACTGTGAAATAGATTCATATAATGAAGAAATACATGTTCATCTAGTTAACAAATACGGATTAATACAGTGAACCAGATTCATATGGTGATGAAATAATGTTTTTCATACAATGAAATAGTTGTATACAGTGATGAAATACAGTTTCATTCAGTGAAATAGTTGCATACAGTGATGAAATACAGTTTCATACAGTGAAACAGATTCATATGGGTGATTTGCCGATTTTGCCCTTTTTTTATTTAAAAATTAAACTTTTTTTAATTTCCTAATATAACACTATTTAATCTTGACCATTGATCAATAAGATGGATGGATGAGATCGGTTTGTAGGGTTTTCACAAATGAGGGTGGTTTGCAATTAATCGCTGCTCTCGTTATCTATGGTTTCAAAAAGAAATCATGTAATTGTTATAAACCCTTCAAATTAACCAACCTCAACTTTCGATGTAGATAATCAACGGTGTGGATTAAATATGTTCCTAAATTTACTCTCAACCAAATCTACAGCTGATTTTATAACCGCCTGTAAAATTCAAAAAATACAAAATCAAGGGCCGAGATTTGGTTTATGGGGTTTGTAACACTAACAGTTACATGGTTTGTATTTGAAATCTCTTCTAGCTATCTAACTTTACATTTACGTTATAAATCAGTTTTTTACAACAACTATTTGCTATTATTTTTCAACAAAAAAAAACCCTCTTGATGGTGGTCTTATCGCGGTGAATATCAATCAAGAAAGACATGCATGTATCTGCAGTTTGATTACACGTATAATTTTTCGTTACGTGAAATTAAAAAATTTGGGCTTGGTATTAGGGGCGGACCTAGTCAGCCCTCAGTGGGGCCCTATGCCACCACAAAAATGTTTCGACAAAGTGTAAATTTTTAATTGTCCTTAATGGTATTGGTATTTTATCTTGGTGCGCGTTATGGTGTCGCCACTTTAAAAAAATCCGGATCTGTCTCTGCTTGAAAAATGTTATGCAAAACCTCGTTATGCTACTAATAGTCTTGAAACAATGTAACCAAACAGGACGAAGGTTTCGGTTAGGAACTCTAGAAGATCAAAAGATCATAATCGTCATGACTGGATTAGGCATGGTAAGTGACCATAAGACTGTGAATTCAACTGCATTTGTCGTTATTCTTATAATTTAAATTGAAATCAGTATAATTGTGTTTTCTTTTGTTTTATTATTTCTCCTTTTAGCAACATGTACACATTTGTCGTCTTAATTATTTGGTCATGTAGTTGAATGCAGGTATTACCACACAATTGTTGTTAAGTCTATTCAACGTGAAAGGGGTTCTACACTTTGGTATTGCCGGAAATGCAAATACTGAACTTGAAGTCGGAGATGTGGCGATCCCTAAGTTTTGGGCGCATATGGGCCTATGGTCATGGCAGGTATGATCGACGGCTAGTTATGTAGGTCAACTAGTTTCATGTCGAACAACTAAATAACTAATAAAAAGTCTAGGAAAGGAACATAAAATAATGACGAGTTATGTAACGACATATTGACTCACATAATAATAATTCCTTTCCACTATAGAGATATGGAGAAGGGCCCGAAAGCGAGTTACCTCTAGAATCCAACGGGGACTACACAAGAACCATCGGCTACCTAAAATTCTCCGATTACAATAACGACACAACCACAAAAGAAAAACGGCACAAAGACAACCTTTTAAACCGTGTCTGGTATCAACCAGAAGAAGTATTCCCGATCGACACATACCCTGAAAGCAGACAACACGCCTTCTGGGTCCCGGTCGACAAACACTACTTCTCACTTTCCAAGCAACTCGAGGTACAAATTCTTCTCGAAAATAAACAATACGTATTCCGAAATCAGAAGGACTGAAACCGTGTATTGCGATTGTGCAGGGTATGAAGTTGGAGAAATGTATAAATGCTACCACTTGCTTACCAAGAGCACCTAAAGTGGCAAGAGTTGAGAGGGGTGTAAGTGCAAATGTGTTCATAGATAATGGGGCTTATAGAAAATTTCTAAGTACCAAATTCAATGTGACCCCAATTGATATGGAAAGTGCTGCAGTTGCCCTAATTTGCCATCAACAAAAGATCCCATTTATAGCAATTAGGGCTCTTTCTGATTTGGCTGGTGGGGGGTCTGCAATTTCTAATGAAGCTTCCAGTTTTGCCCCTTTGGCAGCTCAAAATGCAGTTGCTGCATTGATTAAATTGGTGCCATTATTGGCCTCATAGTGGGGTTTTTTGTAATTTTCAAGTACCCATTTGGTTTTAGAAGTACTAGCTAGAAGGGTACTCGTGCAATGCATCGAGACACATTTCTATTTCAATCTCTCTTTTTATTCTTTATCTATATCGATATAATACGGTTTTATGTGGTTTTGATAAATGAATAATGCTTTTATTTTTGAATAAGATATAAATTTGAAAAATATTATAAAAAATTGAAAAATAATATATCAATATTAGTATCAAATTAATTATTTACAAGTTCTAGTTTTTTGTAATTTTTTTAATTCAAATTTTTTATTATAATTTAATTTAACGTAACGAAGTGATTTAATTTAGGTTTAATAATATAATTTTTTATAAAGATAATCATTAAGTATTTTGTCAGAACTTAATGATTATTCTAATTATATTTAAGAATTTTTTATATTTAAAATGAGATGTTTATCATGTATTTAATTATGTTTATCTGCAGTTAGTTACATGAATTCATACATAGAGCTTTAATAAGTTGTATTTACGCACAACTTACTTGTAATCTTATATTTTAAGTAATATACATTAATAAACAGTACTTTACACATAAAAAGTGGTTTTTAAGAGTTTTTCTCAAATGTTTTATAATATAGTATAGATAATGTAATATTAATTACCTTTATATTACAATTGATACACCTTATTCATTAAGACAGGAAGTTGAGAGAATAATTTCAAATTTTAACACTTTTAAAAAAATTGATTTGATAAAAAAATTTAATTTTAAATGAAGAGTACCAGCGATCCCTCACTGATCCATCGCTAAAAGGGTCTTTCATCGCTGATCCGTCATTGATACTTTGTTTTCCAGTAGTGGATCTGTTCAAATTTAAATGACTGCCTTTCATTGTATGCATTGATGTGATCAAGATTGAAGGTCTTCAAACATTTATGACATATTTCCCATTTGAATAATGAAATAAATTTTGTGTTTTCTTGTTCTTGTTTGATCCCAATTGGACAAAGTGAAGCTACCTTTGAACTTGTCTTAACAGAAGGATAAAATTCTATATCCAAACCAATAAGCCAAGAAATTCTGCAAGTTTCCATCTTTTTTACCCTCGAAGATCGTCTTCAAAGAAATCGACGTTACTGGATAAAGATTCTAGTTCACGAACACTTCTGTTGTTGTACTTTCTCCTTAGATTCTAATGCCGAAATAGAGGCGTTAATCGACAACTTCTAGAAAAACATAATGTTTTCTTCTTTCCCGACTGAATTTCCCAAGAAAAAATATTGTCTCAAGTAACGAAAGATTTCTAAACAAAACCGAACATAAACGATGGCTTTCTTGGACTGTAACCAAAATCTAGAAACAAAAACCACCCTTTTAGTATAATCTAGATAAGAATTTAAAGGTTCAGAAACTAGTTCTTTTTTCTTGCATAGATTCTTGAATCTTTCTTCTTTCTTTCTGTTCTAATGGAAGAAATCGAGAGCCAGATTGGTGGCGGAAACCATACTCCACCTAAAGATTTTGTATGTCCAATAACGACTCTTGTATTTAGTGATCCGGTGACTCTAGAAACTGGTCAGACGTACGAGCGTAAAGCTATCCAGAAATGGATAGAAAGAGGAAACTCCACGTGCCCGGTTACTCACCAGAAGCTTCACAGCGTTCAACTTCCTAAAACTAACTACGTGCTCAAAAGGTTGATTTCTAGCTGGAAAGAGTTGATACGCAGAAATGATGGTTTCACTGAATCCCAGTTTCGGAATCCAGAAAACAAGAATGAGAATAATATCCCTCAGTTGATTTCTCCCAAAAGTGTCATTAGTCGAGCAACGATAGATGGAACGATTAATGAACTCAGAGTTGTGATTACTGATCTTTGTACTTCACAGGTTCTAGAAAAAGCAGAAATGGCGGTTCTTAGAATTGAAAGATTCTGGAAAGAAGTGAATATGGAAGTGGAGATCTACAATATGCTATCAAAACCGCCCGTTATCAATGGATTCGTGGAGATTTTATTCAATTCGGTTAACACCCAAGTGTTAGTAACCACAGTTTTTCTACTTTCCGAACTGGGATCTAGAGATGGTAGCGTGATTTCGACTCTAACACGGGTTTATTCTGATATGGAATGCATCGTTGCCCTTTTCAAGAAAGGTTTATTTGAGGCTGTTGTTTTGATCTATCTTTTGAAACCTTCAATTTCTAGCTTTCTTCAGATGGATATGGCGAATGCCCTTCTAAATGCAGTTCAGAAGAAAGATAATGAGTTTCTAACGATGTGTGTGAAACCGAAAGCTGCTTCTGTTCTACTTTTGAGCCAGATTATTGCAAGTGAAGATGATCATGGTGCTGTTTCTGAAGTTATTAGAACTCTCATATCGGGAAAGGCAATTGAATGCATTATCAGGAGCTTACAATCAGATTGGACGGACGAAAGAATTGCAGCCATGCGTATACTCTTGAGATGCATTCAGAAAGACGGAAAATGTAGGAATATGATTGCTGATAAGGCGGAACTTGCTCCTGTTCTAGAAACTTTTCTCGAGGCCAATGATGGAGAGCGGTTTGAAATCGTGCAATTTCTTTCGGAATTAGTTAAACTAAACAGGTATCTATTCAAGCCGTATTGAAGATATATATATATACACACACACACACACATACATAGGGTCACGTTCAGAGGAAACCGTTTTAAATTAAAAACTGAGGAACACCTTAGTAATCATTCATGTGTATATATGGTATGCACATGTACATGCAAATAATTTGTAAGTAACTTTTTCATTATGCAAACGTGCATAGAAACGCATGAACGATTATTAGGATGTTCCTCAGTTTTTCATTTTTTGAGGGGTTTTTTCCTGAACACCCCTCTCTCTATATTTATAAATGTTAGAATTCTAATGATTTGGGATTTATGTTTCTATTATTACTTTAGGAGAACATTTAATGATCAAGTGCTTCATATCATAAAGGATGAAGGTACTTTTAGTACAATGCATACACTCCTCATATATCTACAAACCGCTCTCACCGATCAATGCCCAGTTGTTGCGGGTCTCCTTCTTCAACTAGACCTTCTGGTTCGACACTATATCTCTCATTACGATAATGATATCAAAGATGTCTAAATGTCTTAATAGACTGCTATTAGAACTTAAGTTTGCAGGATGACACTTTTGAATTGAAGTGTTCATCAACTTTTTTATAGTACACATTCAAGAAATGTCTTATGAACATTTATTTTCACAAGACATTTGAAAAAATGTCATTAAAAAACTTGTTAGAACACTCAAAAGCGTCATATCAACTTATTGTAACATATTTACATAGGAAAGCAGTTTATTAGTACATTTAGACATATTTGACGTCCTTAAATGTCTATATACCTACATATGCCATATGTATGCACATTTGGATTTGAAAGACTAGGAGAAATACGATATGCTTTGCAGGCGGAACCAAGAAAGATGAGTATCTATAGAGAAGAGGCGATAGATAATCTTATATCGTGTCTCAAGAATTCAGACACCCCCCGTGCTCAAATTGCGGCGGCTGAAACACTTTTGGCCCTCCAAGGGAGATTCTCTTATTCTGGGAAGCCCCTTGTTCGGAAATTTCTTCTTAAACGTGTCGGACTTGACAAAACTGATAGATCTATGCGGAAGGAACAACTTGCGGGCGTTTCTGGAGACGTTCAAGAAACTATGGTTCGTTTTAGTTTGCTGGTTTTGTTCGTCTGACATCCATTTTTCTTTCTTCTTCTTATATATATATATATATATATATATATATATATATATATATATATATCAGTTGTTGTTACAGTTTCACATCAATTAGACTTGGACATTTCTCCTCAATAAATGTCAGAACCTCCCTTCTTTCCTTAAGGAATCTTTTGAAGAGTAATCTAATAGGGTTCCATGTAAGTTTTATCTGGTTTTTTCACTTGTTTGACATTCTATTTTAGGAAGAAGAAAAGGCTGCCCAAGTATGGGAGGTAAAGATGGCCTTTGTTTTAGTGAACCATGACGTCGGTCTTATTTTCGAGGCGTTATCAGAAGGATTAAAGAGTAGATACGTAGAAGTATGTTCGGCGTGTTTCGTGACTGCAACATGGCTTCTACACATGCTCACGCTTCTTCCTGACACGGGAGTTCAAGGAGCGGCACGAGCTTGCTTGCTTAAGCGTTTTGTGTCGATCTTCAAATCAGCGAAAGATACGGAAGATAAAGCTCTTTCCATGCTTGCTCTTAGTAGCTTCATTCACGACCCCGGTTAGTATATGAATAAAAACACATTTATCAATATACGGATTCGAGAAAACAAGATCCAGGAAACAAAATCAGACAATCACTATAACAAAATCAGTTATATATTACGTCAAATATGTCTAAATGTTCTACTAGACTGCTTTATAAGACTTGAGTTTAGTTTACAGGACCAAATAATTACACATCATATATGAAGGTGTTACAGTTGAATGTTAGGACATATTTAGACATCCTAACAAGCTTTTTATATGACATTTTTCAAATAGTGTCATATAAAAAGACTAATAAGACATTATTTCAAAAGTGTCTTAAAAACTTGTTAAGACGCTGAAAAGCTCTGTATCTACTTATTGTAACACTTTATATAGAACGTAATATTATTTGGTACTATAAACTTAAGCTTTATAAAGCAGTCTACTAGAACATTTAGACATATTTTGATTCTTATAAAGCCCTTTTTTTGTGTTACACATCGTTAGTAAACTTCATTTTTTTCGAAACTCAGATGGGCTACGCGATATTACCATCCACATGAAGGATATCCTTAAGGGTCTCAGAAAATTCAAGAAATCCTCTACGGTAGCATTCGAAATGCTCAAAGTTTTTTCGGAAGGAAGTGAATCGAGTGTGGTATGTTACTTGTTTTTAGTTATATCATGCTTCCGAACAATATCAAGAAGAAAATATAGAACACGTCAAAACTGTTAGAATCCCACATCAGCTAGACTTGTACACTGTCTTTTCAATATGTCGGAACGCATCTTCTATTCTTAAAGGCTCTTTTGGAGAGTAATTTAACTGGGTTCCACATGTTCTCACAAAAACACGAGATATATATCCTAACTACTTGCTAGTTGTCCTTGTTAGTCATATATCGGCTAGACTTGGACCATTTCACTTCTTCTTTTTAATGGAAAGGATTTATTGGACCATTTCACTTCTACATATGTTTTAAACCCCTTCTATCCTCAAGAACTCTTTTGGAGACACTACAACAAAATCGGGTTTATATGACACTCTCAAATTCTAAACGTCCTAATAGACCTCTTTATAGGACTTAGTTTATAAAACCAAAAAATGAAGTGTCCAATCTAAAGGTGTTGTATTAAGTTTATATGACGTTTTTGATGTCGTAATAAGTTTTTTAGAACACTTCTAATATAAAACATTCTATTAGCAACTTTATATGACAATATTTGAAAAATTGTTGTATAAAAACAAATGTCCTATAAAAAATTGAGTTTATAGGACACTTTCTCAAAAGTGTCCTATAAAGTTGCTAATATGACACTTTGTATTAAAAATGTCCTAAAAACTTGTTAATAAGCTCAAAAGCGTCATATAAACTTATTACAACACTTTTAGATAGGACGCTTTATATTTTGGTCATAAAAATTAGGTCCTATAAAACGATCTATTGGGACGCTTAGAGATTGGGAGTGTCCTATAAACTCAATTTTGTTGTAGTGTCTTTTGGACATTAATCTGGGGTTCCACATATGCTTACAGTTCTTTCTGGCATCAGGAATGGTGGAATCATACAGAATTGGTCCAAGAAGATTGCGGCATAAATGGAGCCGCTATATCGATAGTATTCTGTGAAGACAAGATCTTTTCGGGACATTCAGATGGAATGATAAAGGTACTTCTTTTATTTTCATCAAGTGTAATTAGATATACCCGTATATCTATATCTATCATCTTTCGTTAGAACTGATAAAAAGTTTGTTTCTTTGAATTCTTGGTGAGACGACGAAGATATGGACTTTGAAAGGTAGTATTCTACGTCTTACTCACGAGACTCGAGAACATACAAAGGCAGTAACTAGCTTGACCGTTCTACCATCCGGGAATACCCTATATAGCGGCTCGCATGATAAAACTATCAGGGTAAGAAAGTCTTTTTGTTCCTCGAAGATCTGCACTACAACAAAACTGGTTTTATAGAATGTCAAATATGTCTATATGTTCTAACAGAACTGATTTATAGGACTTCAGTTTATAAGACCAAATAGTGTATATCGGATGATAGGACTCATTTGGGCATCCTAACAAGTTTTTTATACTTTTGAAATAAAGCGTTCTATTAGCTTTTTATGTCAAAAAGTGTGTTATAAACACGTATCTACTGGACGTTAAACGTCCTATCAACTATTCTTACACCTTTACATAGAATGTACAGTTGTTTGGTCATATAAACTTAAATCTTCCTGAACTGTTAAATCTACGGATTTTGATGCGTTCTGTCTGCTAGTATCGAGCAGGCATGGTCTATCGACAAGGACAGCATCAATTGCGAAGAAGTTTATGATGTGAAGGAACACGTTAACAATCTCCTAGTCGTGAACAACATCTCATGTTTTATTCCTCAAGGCGCCGGAATCAAGGTACAACTCAAAACCGAACCAAGCAAATTCAGTATAACCCCGTTTGGAGGTGGGTCGGGAATGTACACAGACTTGACCTCTAATTTTAAGAGTCTAACGGCTGTTTCCATTAAGACCCCCACTTCTGTTAAGTGTCCGAACAGAAAGGATGAAACTTGCTCAAAAGAAATTGCTGACAAAGAACATAAGAACTTAAAAATAAGAAAGGCAGTGCTAAACCGTTAGAAGTAAGCAACAATACACAAACAGATGGTCAAACAACAAACAGTAACAAAAAAACATTTTATATCATTAAGCCATTACCAAACAGTCAGTGTGGATAGACCAGGAAGGTTCTTCGTTTGCAAGGTATTCCCATAGACAGAAGGAGAGTGTTTTTTAATTGGGAGGGTGGGGTTTGGAGGAAACTTGTCTTTAATTTCTACATAAAGCTCCTCTTAGAAGCTCTGAATAAGCCACTTTTTATATCATTAAGCCACTACCCAACAGTCATGTATAAGTATAACTCACCCAATAAGTTGTGAGTCCCTTTAAGCTCATTAAGCTGCTAACAAACAGACCCTTAATCTGTTGTTATCAGGTCAATTCATGGAGTGGAGCATCCAAGTTACTGAATCCAAGCAAAGATGTCAAGTGTTTGGCTCTTGTAAATGGGAGATTGTATTCTGGGTGTATGGATAATAGCATTCAGGTGCCAAAATGGTTCATGATTTCGGATTTTCTTTCCGCTCTAAATCTCGTCATAATTGATCTCGAAAACCCTTTTCAGGAAATTGATTTGGCAACGGGAACGCTGACATCCATTCAAAACGGCACAAGAAAACTACTGGCGAAAGCGAATCGAGTCAACGTCTTGCAAGTTCATGATGAAATGATATATGTAGCCAGCTCTTCTATCGAAGGAACTACGTTCAAGGTACTGCTACAGACATTACAACAAAATCGAGTTTATAAAACGTCAAAGATGTCTAAAGGTCTGAATAGGCGATTACTTATTTCTTGAACTGATTATTTCATTCGTTTTCGAAGATATGGAGTGCTTCGAGTTACGGTCTGGTCCAGTCTGTGTCGTTGACAAGTGAAGTACGCACGATGGCGATTAGCTCGGAATTTATCTACTTCGGATGTAAAATGGGGATCGTGGAAGTATGGTATCGAAATAAAGTTGCTAGAAAAGAAACCCTACAAACCGGTACGAATTCTAAAGTTGTGTGCATGGATCTCAACAGCAATGAAGACGTATTGGTGATCGGAACCTCCGATGGCAAAATTCACGTAAAAGATCTAGTCCGAAAGCTATTAATTTACGGAAGCTTAAGGAGATTCCGTTGATGATCTTAATGGTAGTTTATGTTGATTTGCAGGTTTGGGGATTGAACTAAAGATAGAAAGATTGTGTAAAATGGCCAAAGGGTTAGTGGTTTCCAGGTTACCAACCGTTAGAGCACAGACTCCCAGTCGATTACGGGTTCAAACATCATCAAAGATGCAATCACGATGGATGTAACTCATGATGTATGAAAGGATTTGAAGATAGAGTGGTAGCGGTGAAACATGTTTTCGATGTAACGTAATGCAAGTTTGGTAATGATCGATATTTTCGCATGATATTTTGATCGAATAGATATGTAAGGTATCATCAATTGTGGTTAGTTGCTGCCGTATAGTCCGGTTCATCATCTAGGGTCGTTTACCAAACACTTATCAGGTGTCCTTATCTTACTGAGCATTGCAAGGATTGAGAATTTTACCCGATAAGAAGTATTACGAGAATCTTACCCGGTAAAAGACGTTTACGTTTACGAGGTAAAAAGACGCTTACCCACAATCCATTTTGATGATCTAAAATGTTACCCAATAAAGTAAGTGAGGATAGTGACTCTTATCGACAAACGCTTGGTTAACTTTAAATCCTAAATCAAGATTCAACAAAGGTCAAACTATGGGCTCCCAGAAACCTAACCAAACCCTTTGACCATCCAACCCAACCCGTAAAAATCCCAACTAAATCCAGCCCGTCAAATCGTCAATTGATGAGATCAAAATTTGATTAGGCACAATTCAACCCGTCGTTAATATATAAGGTGCCTATAATGTAAACATTATATACATGCTATACAAGGGTTGGGTTCACGTAAGATCAATCTGTTTTCGTGAAACTCGTGAGACCATATTTTTACCCTTGAAACTTCACAGCAAAACGTTACGAAGGTAAAAAAAATCCTCCCTTCACAGTCAAAAACACTGTGAAGGTATTTTGGTGTAAAGTTTCAAGTGTAAAAAATGGTCTCACGGATCTCATAAAAACAGTCTGATCTCACATGATCTCAAGTCCACCATACAATATGTTCGATTATTTAAAATATAATTAGTTCAATTGATCATATCTAAACCGGCCTCCACCTCCATTCTTATCAAACTTCAACAACCCAACTCCGTTTAATCCCGACGACTTAGCGACCAGGCTTCGCCCCCGCCCCTTCCTTTCTCTATGCCCCCCTCCCCTAAGGCGGGTGGTAACTTCAGCCGCTAAGTGAGTAAAAAGTTATATCCTAAGCTAATTTAACCAAGTCAATACAATTAATACCCGAAGCTAATTCAAGAATTTGCCTCTCAATTAAGCATAAACTTCAAAGTCGTATGGAAGACCGCCTTAAATTACAATCTTTTGATCAATTTTTTTTCAAACCGTCATAACTGTTTTGGGTGGTTTAAATATCATAAGCCGCCGTATGGACGCCCCTAGGTCAAACTTTGCATAAAAGTCAACACAACATGGAGATTTAAAAGTGTATATTAATAGTTAGGGACCGGTGCAAATAAAAAACGAAGATATGGATATTTTTCGCAAAATAATCTTTGGTCTATTGTTTTTCATATGTGAGGTCATGTGTTCAAGTTTTTTATTGCAAATGGTTTTAGAAACATAATAAATCTAAAATTAAAAGCTAAAAACTAAGAAAAATGACATGAATAGGATTCAAGCTTGGGTCTATGGTGGGAGAAAATCATGCAAACCAACTATATCAAAGGAAACTTGCATCACTATTGTAGTTTCAAAATATATATGGTTGCACAAAACAAAATGACACGGTAGCATTATCACGACCTTATAACTTTTTACACTACAACAGATGAGCAAACGATGGCCCGTGCCACCGTATCTATTAAAATGGGTCTGCCCTTGCTTCTTATCTTCTTATGATATTTAAGCTTCTTACTATTTAACCTTATGGAGTTAGATCAACTGGCAATGAGGTTGGGGCCTTTGGGACTTGGGGATCCTCCTCAGAGGCCACCATTTTCAACCCTACAAAGTAGAGGTGCTCATTTTTTGGGTTAATCAGGTTGAAGATATTTGAACAGCTCAACCTAATGTTTATGGTTTGAAAAATCTCAACCAATCCAGCTCAAACCATACAGGTTGGTCGATACTCAAGTTAGTCGGGTTGATACTTTAGTATATCAAAATATTTTTCTAACCTTGAATATGTTTTTTTCACTACTCATAATTCGTTTTTCATCATCGATCATTCAGTACAACTTATGTACGATTCTTAAATCTTAAAGTATATCATATTCAACTATTTTTCTCAATATGTTCACATTTACTGAAGATACAGAGGAGTTATAAAGAGATTGAATGAAGAGAGTACATAATGGTATAATTGTGTAATGTACATATTAATAAATACTTAACAATCATATTAAATCCGAGAAATAAAATGATATCGAGTTCATCGAGTTTGGTTCAAATGACGGTAACGCAATTCCAACCCAATACCTATGGTTTTGAAGATTACAGAATTCGATTAGACATCGGGTTGCTTTAAGTTGGATTATTTGTGTTGAATTGGGTTGACCAAGTTGATTGAGTTTTTAATAGGGGTGTTCGCGGTCCGGATTGGGCGGTTTAACCCCTCAAACCACAAACCAAACCATAATGGCGGTTTATAAAATTTTCAAACCGAGCGGTTTGACATCAAGTGCCCAGACCGGTCAAACCAGACCACGAAAAGGCGGTCTGGTCTGACCGGTTTAAACGGTTAGGGCCTTTAATGGACTTTAAATATTAAACTTAAAAAACATATATAATTTAGAATTTTAGATTAAATATCTATTTTAACAAAATAAAATATCTGAACAAATAAATGTAATAATTAAGCAGCTCTTGAGTACAAAGTCGAAGCAATCCAAAGTACAAACAGATAAATATATAACATATAGAAAACAAACAAATTAACAAAGTTACAACTCTACTGTGGGTATTGAATAACAAAATTCACGACTTCACAACCTTCAATGGTTCAATTCTTGAGTCTCAAGTTCTTGACCAAACAAAATAGAAGCCAAATCTAAGTTGGTTGAATCACTTGGTTGATGTCTTGATGATGTGTGCCGAAATCAAACCATGGATTAGAAAGATCAATAGATTGATGGAGTTTTTGAGGGATTTCAAAATTTGGAGACCGTCAATAACAACTGTGTCGATATGTTTAATGGTTTAATGATTTTAGTCGTCGATTTTGATTATGTTAGATGTTAGGCTAAGGATATATTTGGGTCATAGCCAATAAGTTAAAAATGTTTGGCTTGCTAATATATATATATATATATATATATATATATATATGTATGTATATATATATATATGTATGTATATATATATATATGTATGTATATATATGTATGTATATATATATGTATGTATATATATATATGTATGTATATATACATATATATATGTATGTATGTATATGTATGTATGTATTTGGCGGTCGGTTTGGTCCAAACCGCCCAAAAAATGTTCCAAACCGTAGACCAAACCGGACCGCCCGGTTTTGCTATTTTCCAAACCAGACCGGACCGCTAGACCGCTCAAACCGCCAAAAACGGTTCGGTTTGACTTGGTTCGGCCGGTTTGAGTGGTCCAACGGTTTTTTTGAACACCCCTAGTTTTTAAGCATCCCTATTACAAATCCATTGGGGATTTTCTTGACTGTTCTTCAAACTCCTGAGACTAATCGAGATACGTAAAACTTGACCCAGAAAATTATGATTAAAAAAATAAAAAATTAAATTCTTTGATGACAAATATATGATTTATAAATAGTCAATCACAATCAATGGAATCTGCTCTCCATTTAATAATCAGTGAGTTGGCTAGAACGATTCTTGGTTACTCAGTCAAAGTGTATTAAATAATAAGATGGACGCGAGTTGCAGGCAACCGGACCCCAAATTTCTTTTATTAAATTTTGGTTAATTAATTCCATTCAATTCCGCTTCCATCTGCTACTTTATATCTTTCATTTGCCGCCGGTCACCGTTCATTGCAATTAGCTCGTTCAAAATGGCTCCGATTGCTGTTGGTGAAACCATTCCCGACGGTACTCTCGCCTACTTCGATGAGCAGGATCAGTTGCAACAGGTCTCTGTACACTCTCTCGCCTCCGGCAAGAAAGTCGTTCTCTTTGGCGTTCCTGGCGCCTTCACTCCTACTTGCAGGTATCTTAATTTCTTCTTTCCACATGCTTTACTCAGCTTTACGTTGTTCTCCTTATGCTAGTTTGTAGCAATGGATGTTTAGATTTTTACTACATTGAGAAACGCCGTTGAAAATTGAGCATTAGGTGTGTCTGTGTCGGTCTCGTCTCCGGTCATACACCAGGTGGATGAGGAAAATTATTACTATAATTATCTGTACAATGATATCCTCAATTGCAGCTAAATCATGTATTTGCATCAATTTCAAATTTTAGGGTTTTGCTAATTGAATTGAAATTTTAGATGCGATGGAGATTTACTTTTCTGTTTGTTAATTACAAATGTTGGTAGCATTGAATTTGGTTTAAGAAACAGTTATTACACTTTCGTTAAACTGTATGATGAAGTAACCTAGAAATGTATACCTCACTTCAATGGTTATAAACCAGTGGGATCCTGAGTTTCCCTTTTGAATCAAACGAAATGATGCAAAATGTTAGTCTCTTATGGGATTTTTGTCTTCTGTGATATAGAAGAAAAGAAATTGTAACAAATTCTTTTGTCTTGTAAGAATATGTGAAATCCCCTTAAATAACACTCCAAAAAAGCCCTTTAAGGAGAGAAAGAGGTTCCAACATATTACTCTTATAACATGTTTATTCGTATGGAACAGTATGAAGCATGTCCCAGGCTTCATCGAGAAATCCGAAGAGCTTAAATCAAAGGGTGTGGAGGACCTTTTGTTGATTAGTGGTAAGTATCTTCTAAACTGAAAAAATCGAATTGAAATTTATCCTTTTGGAGTCAATTGTATCAAGTGCACCATTGTTGAACAATCTCTTTGACATGCTTGTTCTTTTATGTTTGAATCGTTGTCTTGGTTTAATTTGCAGTAAACGACCCTTTTGTGATGAAGGCATGGAAAAAGTCATACCCAGAGACAAAGAATGTGAAGTTTCTTGGAGATGGATCCGCGAAATACACCCATGCACTTGGGCTGGAACTTGACCTTTCGGAGAAAGGATTGGGGGTTCGATCAAGGAGGTTTGCTCTGTTGGTGGATGACCTAAAAGTGGTGGTGGCAAACATTGAATCTGGTGGAGAGTTTACCGTGTCGAGCGCAGATGATATCTTAGCAGCTCTGTAAGATCTCAAACTTGATCCATAGTTCTGTATCTGAATCTGAATCTATATGTTTATCGTTATGAAAATTGAATGTTGCTGCTTGAAACAACATATAATCTCATACATGTTAACAGACACTTGTGGTTGATGACTTCTTTGAGATTAATAATGAAGAAAAGTTTGATGAATATCGATTGTTTCTCGAATTTTTTGCACGATTAATCCCTGTATGGGTAAATTTGTTTGTCTAGATAAAATTGTAGTGTTGTTTCCTTTTTCTTATGAATCAACAATCAGAATGGGCAAAATTGACCCTCAAAGAACTGAACATCGTTTCACAGATTGCATTTGACATTATGATAATAATGGTATTATGAAACAATTAACATCAAAATGCATTTAACCATTATTCTTATCAAATATGACAGAACTAACAAATCAAGAATTTGTCTTTTGAGGTTTATTGAACTGATTGTCCACCACCTCTGCCTCCACCACCACCACCACCACCGTACACCATCTTCACATCTCCTCCACCTGTTATCGCCTCAACCCACACCACCATTGTCACTGCAACAACCTTCAAGTCTCCAACGTGCCTTTGTCGATTCATAAGTATCTGTGTACATCTCCTCCACCTGTTATCGCCTCGACCCACACCACCATTGTCACTGCAACAACCTTCAAGTCTCCAACGCGCCTTTGCCGATTCATAAGTATCTTCCAAACTGAATAGAACATAATTTTTCCTGTGAACCAATTTTTTCCGAATAGAATATAATTTTTCCAAGTCTTCAAGGGGTGGGTTGATTTTCCAAGGGAGAGTGAGTGGGAGGTGGGCCCCCTCATTTCAGGTTTTAAAAGCTCGATCGAAAAAAAATCTTTGTCGAAATCCAATGAAGCAAATGATTGACCATAGTATCATCCGAAGAAATGGATCGCTCAATTTCTCAATGAGATTGGTTTCTTTTCTGGCAATTAGGAGTTAGTGGATGACACGTGGCTTTTTGTAGTAAGTGATCCAGACTTAATCGTATCAAACACTACAAAAACTTTGTTATATCAGGTCTTGCTCTCTTGTTATGTCTAGTCTTTGGGAAAAATCTAAAAAACACTCAATGGACTTTAGTGTTTGGAATGATTAAGTTTTTGGACAATTTTTTTGGAAGAAATAAGTTTTTGGATATTCCAAAACCTGTTACATAACTCATTAGACTTTCTAAAACATGTTAAATACATTTTTAAGGTAACCGGCAACCTCTTGTAAAAATACAAACCGTATATATATAAATATATACCCGCCACACACATCATCCTTCACTCACAGAGAGAACCCTAACCCATCCATCCGGTGACCATCTCGGTCTTCTCCTGACCCTCTTATTCTTCTCCACCGATCAATATCGAGATTGAGCTACGTTCTTCTTCGGCGACAACCCAAGTTCAAGATCGTGATCAACTCAGAAACTTTTATCTAGAGAGGAAACCATAGGTGGCCATCGAGATCGAGATTGAAGGGAAGAAACCATAGTTCATGACCTGAAATCGAACCAAAAAGACGATACACAAACTATTTGCACATATAGGCGCACAAAATAGCCTCTGGTGAGGAAGGTTAGAAGTCCTGCAAGTTGCAACGTTAGAAGGCTACTAACATCGATTGAATGACCAACTTGTCAATGAAAGTCTCTACTATGTCTCTGGATGGTGATCCAGAGGCAATAGACATAAAAAAAATCAATTCGTTAAAAAATGAAAGATGATAAATATATTATATGATTTCCCTAGATAATGGGTTAATCACAATCAGATGTCTAAAATTCATAGGTGTTACAAATTAATGCCATCTAATTTTGCTTCATTGGTACTTTATATATTTCAATAGTAGACAGGTGATTGTTCATTGAATCAAGTTGGCTGAAAATGGCTCCAACATGATTCCCAACGGTACTCTTGCCTTCTTCGATGAGCAGGGTAAGTTGCTGAAGGGATCTACAACACTAAGTGGTAACACATGCAAGTATACACGTGTCAACATTATCGCCTTCAAGTAATAAATGGTAAGAACCAAGTATCGTATTCCACAGGAATAGATACATTAAGTTGTAAGATATCAAGTTAAAAGACTAATTTCAGATAGCGAATTTGAAGACTTTGATTGAATATGAGTTAACAATTACAAATAACATAATAAATAAAGATAGCATGAGTGTAAGACATATGGTGAAATGTAAACACAAATTCCAGCAGACAATGTTGAAAAAATGCTACAGCATGCAGTAAGCCATAACTAGTTCCACCATCTATTTTGGAGGTATTCCTCTCGGACTTCACCACTATATTATAACTTTCAACTCATATCTCTATGTGATATCCGGAATAGGGATAGTGACAAAATGGTGTCTTCAAAATATATGGATAAACGAATCTATTTGTTAAAAATCACTCTCTTGAGCTGATTCTCATATCATTCAAGTTGACGTGGATTCAATGGTTTATCTCTAAGATCATGGCACTTTAACACTTTCAAAGTGATCAACTCGTCAAGAAGTGTCATTTGTTTTTATAAAAACTTGAATGAAATAGTGGAACATTGTTATTGCGAAACAACGTCCATTTTCCTTCGGTTTAACATTTCACTCTTTGTCTTACACTCAAACTAATGGAATTACCTACTCATTACGGAAATTAAACTACAAATAATATAAAGAACAGAAAGTAAAGACATGAATATAAATGACTGAATGTAAAGAACGGAAATTAAATGACAAGATTAGTTAATAAAGTAAGAACAATGTTGCACCAACTCATAATGAATAACATTATTTAAAGAAAATTAAAAACTAACTTGCATAAACATATAAACTACAGATTTGATTCTTCAGTGTCTTTGGGATGGATTTTTAAAGAGCTACCAAGGGTCCTATTTATACAAAAGTTCCCAACAAAAAGACAAAAGTCTTGGAAAATCAAATGTTACTAAAAGGATGACAAAAGTCTAAAAAGGAGTATCACATCACAAGTAAAAGCAACCATCAAAATCCTTCATCCCAAGTCCCAACTGTAATGGTTCTTATCCAACGGATTAACAAAAATTTGTCTTCTTCCTTTATTGGCAGCTGAATTCTTAAGCACTTCCCAAAAGACCGCATCATGACAGTTCAATGCTGTTGGAATGACGCAGCACAGAACATTATGCTTTCAAGTTGAGATTTTTCTACTCTAATTGTGCAAAAACAAGTTAATCACTTAATTTAGCTCCAAGTATAAACAAATGGAAAATAATGAAAATAAATGACTTAAGGTTGGGATAAAAGAAAATAAACTACTTAATAAGTAAAAAAAATGAATGATTATGCATTGAATAATCAATGAATATCAGTTGCAATAAGTCTCTATACACTTTCTCATTGTCGGCAAGAAAGTCTTCCTCTTTGGCGTTCTCAGCGCTTTCACTCCGACTTGCAGGTATCTCAAATTCCTTTATCTATATTCCTTAACGCGCTTTTGGCTGTTCTCTTATGTAAGATGCTAGTTCTTATTAATACGTCTAGAGAGAGATTGCAACATTGAGAAATGCTTATCTTTAAATTTTAGGGTTTTACTGATTGAATTCAAGGTTAAGGATCCCTGTTTTAAATTATAGCAAATTCTTTCTGTTTACTGGTGTGGAAAAGTATGCAACATGTACCAGGCTTCATTGATAAATCTAAACAGCTTAAATTAAAGGGTGTGGAGGACCTTTTGTTAATTAGTGGTAAGTGTCTTCTAAACTGGAAAAATGAAATCAAAATTAATACTCTGAGTCATTTGGATCAAGTGTACTATTGTTGAACAATTTCTTTGAAGACATGTTTGTTCTTTTATGTTTGAGTCGCTTTATTGGGTTAATTTCCAATTAACGACCCTTTTACGATGAAAAAGTCGTATGCAAAGACAAAAAATGTGAAGTTTCTTGGAGTTGGAGCCGCGAAATACACCCATGCACTTGGGATGGTTCTTGACCTTTCGAAGAAAGTATTGGGGGTTTGCTCAAGAAGGTTCGCTCTATTGGTGGATGACCTGAAAGTGGTGGCCGCAAACGTTGAAGCTGGTGAAGAGTTCACTGTGTCTAGCGCAAATGATATCTTAGCCGCTTTCTAGATGTAATACCCAAAAATATGAATAATATATATATATATATATATATACACACACACAATTATTTTATCCAAACGATGAGAAAAAGGTAAATAAAAAATTGCCCCTAAATAACTGCCAAAGCTAGAGTGAGCGGTCAATGTTTAATAAATTGCAAACCACAGGGTTCTCACTTTAGAGATCCAATTCTTAATTTTTGAAAAGGTATATGGACCAAAAAATATGCATTAATCTGGAGGTCTCAGGTTCAAATCCAAAGAGGAATAAAAATTCCCTTGTGGCTACGGAGATTCAAATACGGTGACTCCGGACTATCTGCAAAGCATGTGGTCGTCTTGAGATTAGTCGGCTCGCATAGGGGGTTGATATCCAGGTTAATCAAAAAAAAAATATGTGCACTATTAAATATATTTAGACAAGAAAATAAATTTATTTTGAACCTGATAATTTGTGTACAAATCTTAATTCACAATCTGATAATGCAAATCAGCATTTTACAAAAATTCTACTGAAAATCACATTTTATATAAAGTTTGTTTGAAACATCCCAAAACTCCATTTTGGAGATTTGCTGGAGATGCTCTACTGCTCGCTCGCTCGCGCAAAATACCCAAGATTTTAAAATAAAATTGAGTGAGACAAAGAATAAAACAAAATATGAGAGAATTCGAGTTCTCAACTTCAGAATCGAAATATATTGCTTCACATTACGTGGACATACTACTAGTTTAAGTTAACATGTTACCTGTTGTTGTAATAAGTAAATTTTAAAAATACAATTTATTAATAAATACAATTTAAAAGTAAAAATATATATAAGAAAAATAATTGAAAAAAGAACATTAATATTATTTTTTTTCCAATTAGACTTAAAAACAACTATAAAACCTAGGGTTGTAAACGAACTGAACGAACAGGAATAGAGGCTTGTTCATGTTTGTTCGTTTAACTTAACTGAACAAACACGCACGGTAAACGAACGAAAATCTTTGTATCCGTATTCGTTCATTTAGAAATCATTATGTTTGTTTATTAACATGCTAACCGA